ATATATAACTTAAAAAAAAAAAAAAAAAAATTATCGAATTCAGTTCCCAAGGATGCGTGGTTCTCACGTACAGTCCCGTGAAGCTTTTTAGCGGGAAAATGGCCAACTTAGGAAAAAAGAAAGCTGGGAGGCTGATATTTTAAAAGGATGTTCCCAGTCTATGTACAACTTAAAGTTATCAAATTACACTCACAGGAATGCTAGGTACAGCCTCGTGAAATTTTTTGGGGAGAAAACGGCTAACTTGGGAATCAGGAAGCTGGGACGCTGAAATTTTAAAGAGATGTTCACAATCCATATAGAACTTAAAGTTATCAAACCTAGCTCCCAAGTATGAGCGGTTTTCACGTACGGCCCCGTGAAACTTTTTGGCTGGAAAATGCTTAACTCGGGAACCAGGAAAGCTGGGAGGCTCAAATTTTAGAGTAATGTTCCCAGCCCACATACAACTTAAAGATTCCAAATCCAGTCACCAAGTATGCTTTCAGGTCACGTGCGGCCCTGTGAAAGTTTTGGCAGGAAAGTTGATAACTCGGGAACCAGAAAAGCTGGAAAGCTGAGGTTTTAGGAGAATACTCTTCGCCCAAATACAACTTAAAGATTTTAAATTCAGCCTCCACTTATGCGTGGTTCTCGTGTAGGGGCGCTTAAATCTTTGGCGGGGAAATTACTCATTGAACAGTTGGGTTATTTTTAAAAAAACAAACGCTAAACGGGAATTGTTTATTTCCTTTTACGCAAAATTTACGATGATTTATGGTATTGAGCGCACAAGGAAAGTGCGAAGAAACAACCATTCATGCAGTTAACCTAATTACTTCAAGTTTGGTGCAAAAACGCATGGTCGCACTGGCTCACCTGGTGCGTTCCAGCCTGGGTTTGCAATGAAGTCTGGTCGTTTTCCCGGTGATTACTCGTTCATTGAAAAAAATGCAAATTTGAAGGAAATCGGAAGAGGATTATGAAACTTACAAAATACACTAGCTTTTAGTTTGCCACAAAACTGAGTATTTGTCATGTCCGCGTGTGCAGAATTTCACCTTCAAGGTGAATTAAGACCCCTCGTGAATATAGAATATGTTTGCAAAGTTCAGCTTCGCAGCTTGTCCGGTAAGTGAAACAGCCGCTTCACTACAAATATCTTTGAAGCACTCTAAGTCATGACGTAAGTGTAAATAGATACTCAGTTTAGGTATACGATTTTCTAAATGAATAATAAATATCCTGACAAAATTTCAGCTACTGTTTTCTTGCTAGTTTTCGAGTTGCCACAATGGCAGCTGCGAACATTGACGCGACCGCACACGTGGTGTAAGCGTATGTGATAGCTGAACTTGAAAATCTCGAGTCAAATATGCACAGAGAATATCCCTAGAAACTTTCAGCTTTCTATCTTGTCTGGTTCACGAAACCGTTTTCCTCCAAAGGAATATGCATATTTTTTTAGACGGACCGTACACAAGATCTAGGAACGTATGAGCGAAGATTTTAAAACGAGAGGGTGACCTGTAGAGTGGGAATATGATTCCAAAATCCCAGCCTTCCTGGTTGTTGATTTGAAAGTGGGTGAGAAAGTTCACTCCCTTCCGAACACGCAAACGCACACACGCGCGGACGGACGGTCTCGCAACGATATGTGTTTTTGCTTAGCGTAACAGCGCTATAGCGCTGCACAGCAAAAACATGTAGTAATGAAAATGATTAATCTTTCTCTAAATTTGCGTTAATTTTCATTTTAGCCCAAAATCTGGTGTTTTTTT